CCAGAACTGGTCAGAACCTGTTGAATCCCACCTTTGCCCTGTGATGTATCCACAATGGTTATGAATTCATGCGAAAATGGATCAAGGGATTTGTTTCTTTAATATGCACAACCAATAATGAATAACCATTTGATGGAGACGATAATATGTAAGACTTAGTTAGATCACACTATAAAAAAAATGTGGAGACTCTGAAAGGAGTGCAGAGAAGAGCAACCAAGACGATTAGGGGACTGGAGGCTAAAACATACGAGGAACGGTTGCAGGAACTGGGCATGGCTGGACTAGTGAAGAGGAGGACCAGAGGAGGCATAATAGCAGTCTTCCAATATTTGAGGGGCTGCCACAGAGAGGAGGGGGCCAAGCTATTCTCCAAAGCACCTGAAGGCCAGAATAATGGATGGAAACTGACCAAGGAGAGATTCAACCTAGAAATAAGGAGACACATTCTGACAGTGTCTCCTTATTTCAGTCAACCAATGGAACAGAAGTTGCCTCCAGAGGTTGTGGGAGCTTTATTGCTGGAAACCTTTATTACAGAATACTCCAAAGGTGGTTTTTCAGGAGACAATTGTATTTTTTTCTTTCAGAGATGTTTTTCTTCTCATCCAAGAAGCTTCTTCAGCTCTAGCTGGATGGTGGTGGAGGATGGAAGGATTTATACTCCTTGCAGACAACTGGTCATTTGTGCCCTTTTAGAGGGTCGTTGAAGCACTTGGAGGTTTATCAGTGTCCTCAGGGTCACCTGAGTCAGACGTTTAGCTGTGCAATTTGGGATGGACACCCTTGGAATGGTGTGGGAGTGGGAATGGATTTCCAGAGGGGAAAATTGCAGTCTACAGGAACCATTTGCACCACTCATGTGATCCTGAGGACACAGAGAAACCTCCACGTGGCTTCAACAACCCTCTAAAAGGATACAAATGACCATCTGCCTGCAAGAAAATATAAATCCTTCAGTTCATCCAGTCAGATCTGAAGAAGCTTCTTGGATAAGAAGGGAAACGTCTTTAAACAAAAAAACAGAAAGTCCAGTTGCCTCCTGAAAAAAAGGACCTTTGGGACAACCATGATCTGGATGATGGAGAATCTCTACCGATGTTTATTACAGAAAAGGTGCAGAACGTTCTATCTTGTCTCCCCGGTCAATTAAATATTCTCCTTTCGTTGCAGAGTTTGCCGGAGAAAGTGAGGAGGGCAGATGTTGCTTCGCTCCCCAAACCTCCCAGTGGTCCCGAGCCGAATCAGCCCCAGGAGCAAACAGAAGGGCGCCTCTCCCTTCCAAGCCGAGAGACGGCTGAGACTCAGCCAACCGCCAGCTGCCTTGGAAACTGTCGCTCCCACGGCTGCTCTGAAGCCTACACGCGGCTCTTCTCCAGCTTCTACTTCAAGGGGAACAATGGCATCATGTCTCCCTTGGCGAAGAAGAAGCTGCTGGCGCAGGTCAGCCAGGACGAATGCTTGTACACTCATGAGAAGAAGCACCTCATCCACTGTCCCGAATACAAGAAGATCAGGATCCGGGAAATACCAGGATTGGACTCTGAAGTTGGTCGCCTGCAGAAAGAGGCCCCAAAGACAGGAGCAGAGGTGAACGGTTCTAGCAGTTCTCCAGCTCCTTCCCAGGTTGGAAAAGCCAATGATGGTTTGATGAAAGTTTCTCCAGGTTTCAAGGAGGGCCCAGGGTCCATGAAAGCGGAGGACGAGAGCTCTGCAGCTCACCTGTCTACTGGGCCACCTGTCTTCCGTGGCTACTTCCACACCTCCAGCAGCAACCTCTTGAAACCCATCAGTGGCCTCCGAGGACCAGTGGAATATTACTCCAGCTTGAAGGACCTCCCCGCGTCTTCCCCAGCTTACGCTAAGCCTGGAAAAGATGCCCTGTTAGCAGCTGGGTCTCAGAAGAAGCAGGACAGCTTGGAAGACCAACCAGAAGACCTCCGCAGGAAGTCAAGTCAACCTTGGAAAGCCGACCATCAACACTCTTCAGCCTTTCAAGCGAGCGCCCTGAGCACCAAGGCGGGGTTTCCCCCATTTCAACCGGTCAAAGCCTCCTGGACCTCACCCGTGGTCAACCTGGCGAAGGTCAGCCCACAGGTCTCCAAGAACGGAGGGCCGTCCATGTCTCCAGGCCAGTCGGGCATCCCCCTGCAGAAGAAGAGAGCGTCAGAGGAGGACTACTTTCTGCATGGCAAGAAACTCAAGGCGGTATCTCCATTCGTCAAGGAGGTAGACCCGAACGGTAGCCTGGATCAAGGGACGGCCCCCGGAGGGCAGTCCGGCATCGCGAAGCCGAAAGCGACGGTGGTGGGGTCCATATTTCCAGTTGCTCATGTGCCTCAGCTACAGGACATGTACAAGGGCACCATGTTGAGGTTGCCCGTTAATTTTGGCAGCCCAGGAGAACATCTCAAGGAACAGGCCCCTTCGCTGATCCAGTCTCTCTCCATCAACCCGTTCATTATCCCCGCCTTCCCCACCCCGCTATTAACTGCGTCCGTCCAGGCATCGGATCTGGGTCAGTCCCTGGGCACCAGCCTCGTCCACTACCCCACTTCGTATGACAGCGCACTACGCCACCGGCTGTACCCTGTGTCGACGTGGCACAGCCAGCCGACCTACACTTCTGCCCACGTCCCATCCTACCACCGGAACACCAAGCTGTAGCCCCTTACCCCCGGGACCCTCAGGGATTTGCCACGTTGGAGACCCCGCACAACGTTTGAGAGCCCGCGCGAGGAATGTGCGAACCCCACATCCGCGGCCTTTCGACATTTTGATTCCCCTGCTTTTTCCAAGCTCTTACATAGGACAAAACAGGACCATATGACTTTTTTTAAAAAACTGCCCGAACGATGAACTGTCTTTTTATCTGACATGGTATGCAAATAACTTGTGCTTTTCAAAAAAACAAAAACAAAAACAACCAACCTTAGAGGGAACAAAGTTCTTATAAACAGAGATTTATATCTGTGTATGGCGTGGGCCTAATTTCCTTCTAATTTTCCCATTCTTCATAAGCTGCTTCAAATGCTGCTGGCATATTCAAGGGACTAGCCCTCAAGGGAATCGTGTCCTGGGGGATGGAGGTGGAATAGGGGAATGAGTAAAAAGCCCTGTTTAATGGTCAACATGTGGCATTCCAGATGTGGCCTAAGCCTTTGTAATAAACCCCAAGTGTTGCTTAACAACATAGAAAGGAATGAGCATATGAAGAATGGTTGCAGGAACTGGGTATGTCTAGTCTGATGAAAAGAAGGACTGTGGGAGACATGACCGCAGTATTCCAATATTTCAGGGGTTGCCACAAAGAAGAGGGAGTCAAACTATTCTTCAGGAGCACCTGAGAGCAGGACAAGAATCAATGGGTGGAAACTAATCAAGGAGAGAAGCAACTTAGAACTGAGGACACATTTCCTGACAGNCCGCCCTGAGTCCCTTTTAGGGAATAGGGCGGCATATAAATAAAATAAAACTTCAAACTTCAAACTTCAAACTCCTCACTGTCTGACTCTGCTGCCAGCTCCGCTGACCACTTGCAGGCCACAAGGTGTATAGATTTATTTGTATTGTTTTAGTTGTTTTTATATTTTATATTATATTTAGAAATATTTTATATTTCTAAAGTCATTTGTTGAGATGGCTAAAATAAAATAATAGAGAATTAAAAGTCTTAAGACACACAGGGACACATTTGTAGAGGAAAAACTTGCAATCAGTAGAGTTAAATGGAAATAAAAAATCTGAAGTATACTTGTGATCATCAACTTAAGGTTTAAATATATGCAAAATAAGTACACATTTACAGCAGCAGCAACTAATTATAGCAAAACTACTCTACCTTGGCTAAACTAATTAACACTTGTAATGGAACAGTAGACCATTGTCTATACCCATGTACATACATCCAAATAAAATTAAACATTCCTTCTAAGTATTTCTAACTCAATTTCTTCAGGCTGGAAACTTTCAGGACTTCCGCACAGTATCTAGAGAAATGTAAATGTCCCCCTGTTATTTTTTTTTTAAATTGCAACATCTTATATAAAACAATATATGGAGGTGGTATTCAGAAACCAGCTGGAGAGAACTTCACTTCTAATCCCATCTCCACATGATTAAACCTAGTTTTTAGTTCATCAGACAAATAGAAAGAGTGTTAAAGTATAATATGTACCGGTAGTTCTACATGAAATGTGCATTTAAAGCAAATTCTTTCTTTAAATTGATAAATAAATGCTTAAAACATTATGATGATTTTACATGGGTAAGAAGACTTTTCAAGATTTATTGGTGACAAATACACACATATACAAATACATCATGTAATGATTAGGGACACGGTGGCTCAGTGGCTAAGATGCTGAGCTTGTCGATCAGAAAGGTCGGCAGTTCAGCGGTTCGAATCCCTAGTGCCGCGTAACGGAGTGAGCTCCCTTTACTTGTTCCAGCTTCTGCCAACCTAGCAGTTCGAAAGCATGTAAAACTACAAGTAGAAAAATAGGGACCACCTTTGGTGGGAAGGTAACTTTTCCGTGCGCCTTTAGCATTTAATCATGCTGGCCACATGACCACAGAGACATCTTTGGACAGCGTTGTCTCTTGGACTCTGAAATAGAGATGAGCACCACCCCCTAGAGTTGGGAACGACTAGCACATATGTGCGAGGGGAACCTTTACCTTTACTATACCCCTATTTATGAAATTCAGCTCGTTCCTCCTCTAATTAAGCTTTCTTTTTCTTCACAATCTACAGTGTGACCAGATCACTTGATTACTTCCTTTAGAAACCAATGTTTGTCTCAGGATGGTCTCTACACCTCCATACATCCCTTGAGAGACCGCCTCCCCACTTGAGAGACTGCCTCCTGCCAATTACCTCCCTACANTGTGAATAGGATGGACAACATTTGCAATAAGCTGAGAAAACTGTTCATAAAGAAAATATTTTTTAAAGAATCATTGTAAAGAAAAGGAAAAAGAATGATACCGTTATTACTGTAACTAATTTGTGTTTTTTAAAGAAATAAAAGGAAAGGACATATTAAGTTTAAGAATTGTGATCTTGTACTTATTTATCAGGAATATTTTTATTGTGAATACACCACAATATTTACCTCAAAATTAGCTAGGAAATAGGTTAGTCTTCCATTATGAGCCATGCCATTCACAATTTATTGTAACTAGTGTCCAAATTGCACTATAATAATTCTCTTGATTAATTTTTTATATAAAAACTGTCCACAAGTATGCTATACTTGTCCATAGTTTTATATTGTTATTAAGGGAAAATGCTGAGCTGACGAAGTTACATAATTCATTTTCCTCAAAAAAGATATTTATTCAATAATAAGTTATGGGCCACTGTTTACTTTTTAAAAATGCACATTAAATATAATTTTTCATTGAATTTTGCATAGTTAGTCACAATAATAATTCTCTGGCAGTGTTGTAACAACTTTGTTACATTATATGTTTAGAACAAAAAAATGTATGTGCATCTCTGTGCTTTCTTTCAACCTTTATAAGATTTTGTTGCATGGACATTTTTCTGCACTATACAATAACAATAGTGAGAAAAATTACCTCAGTGGGGAAAAAAAGATTAAGGATAAAAAAAGTCAGTATTTGTATTTCAGCAATTGCAATGTGATCTTTTCTAAATACTTGTTCATGTTTGTGCAGAGTAATATTAATATGAACTGGGTCGTTTCATGTTTAAACTTCCAGTAAGGATTGAATAGTGAATAGTCTTTATTGTGTGTAGTATATATAGTCTATTTAGTCTTTATTGTTTTTATAAATTTTGCAAGACTGAAATATAGAGGTTTATTAGACTGGGTGGCTTCTGAGAACTATTTTTCAATATAACAGGCAGCATCCTCACATGTTAGTAACTATTAAATAAAACCTGTAACTTGTCAGTGGGGATTCAGTCCTCAATGTGCAAATTTTTAAATAGGCTGTGAAAGCTGCTGAAGTAGAGCCTCTTAGCTGAGGGTTAGAAACTAATGAACTGTCCAAGGTCCTGATCACTGATTTTGATTTTATTTTATCTCAATACTGTACTACATAGAGTCTTTTCCTTTATATTATACAAGTCTATGCCTGGTTTAGTTACAGAAATTTGCATTGATTAATGTTTCTGTACTTATTATACACTCTTGCTTCTGGTTGAATTTACCCACCTCTCCAAATGCAGTTTGCTCAGATAGTAACTGAGATAAGACAAGGCAAGCTAGATGGAGATGTATTTACTTCTCAGCATAATCAGAATATATTGTATTATATCGTTGCAGTCACACATCAGAAATGTCACTGGTCTTTGACTGTAATAAACTTACTTGACTTAACATCAGAAATGTTTTTCAGTTATTTCTCTTTGCTAATTCTCAGTTCATGGTAGCAATTTTCTACACATTCAAGTGTCATAGATATTTGTGGACAAATAACAATGTATTTTGGCTTTTTCTGACAGTTTTAATGTAGAATCGTTTTGTCTCAGTTGGTAATAGTACACTGAATACAAAGGCTCCCTGGCTTAAATAAGAATGAATCTAACATTTTATGGTGGAGTATTTTATATACAAGAACTAAGTATTGCTTGATCCCTACCTTCTAGACAGTAACTGCTTTCTTGAAAGGTATTTTGGAGCAGATTTTGTCTTCCTGACATGATTTAAAAAGTCCATAATAGATGAGAGCCCTCTAATTTACATGACAGTTTGTCTCTGACATTTTAAAGACATCCTGTAAAATCCCCTGACAAATCAGATAGAAAACATATATTTGCACCATTCTCAGCTGGTATTTTTCTAATTGACACATTGTATAGAGTATCAGCTGCAGAAAATGCTATAGAACTTTTCTGAAATGACAGAATGTGAAAATCTATTGGAGTAAAACAGCTGATTTGTAGAAACACAGTATTTTAGTGTAGGAATCTATTACAGACTTACAAAGTGTGAGCAACTAAGTACATTGCAAACCCTAATGTATTTTCAGGTCTGCAGTACTATGTATAATGACAGATTCTCCTTAGTGTGATGAAGGAAGTGCTGTAATACAAAGCATGCATTATAAGCAGTAGACTTCTCTCTCCTTTGAAAGGGAACAGCAAAGAGCCACTGATGCTTCAGCATTTAATCCTCATGGGACACTATAATTCCCTTTCTGACTTTGCAGCTTTGTTAATTTGAGAGTACTGGGAACTATAACAGAAAATGTACTGTGAAAACCATGACAGAATAACATTTACAATTTCCATGGCTGTATTCAACATTGCAGATGATAAAATTATTGTAATTCCTTGAGAGAGCGAGAGCATAGGAGACATATTATCATAAAAAACATCAGAAAATCAAATACTATGCTGCGAATACAATAATAATAAAAATAATAATAATGGATATAATAATAATAATAATAGATAGATAGATAGATAGATAAAATAATAATAGATAATATAACAATAAATAATAATGAGAAGCGAGCTGAAAATTGGAAAAATAAAGCTATGCATAGCCAATACTTGAAAANCCATTTTTCCACATATTCCTTTCCATAGATAAATTTCCTAAATTGAAATAACAGCTATTTTTTCCCCTGAAATAAAAATAAAAATCCAGATACTGTACAGGGATTTCCTGTCAGCATTACTTAACACCGAGAGTTTGGCTTTTTTTTTTCTGCAATAATTAAAAGCTTCAGCAAATAACATGGACTTCACACTGGAGCTTTAAAATACCTCAGTGCAGAGCTGGTGACCTACTTCTTCATTTATAGAACACAGACTTCATTCTTTAAATGTACTTGAACAATTGTATTTATCTAAATGATATTGCAATTAGGTGCTGATGTCAGTGCTTATGAAATGCATTAAAAGAATATTACAGTGTTAATCATGTTCTGACATTTCTATTGTCTCATTATATTTTTACTAAACCACCAGCTGACTTCCACAGTGAGCCAAAAA